TATTCAAATGTTCCATAAACACAGACACGTCTGGCATGGCTAAAACAATTACATTAGCTTCCGAATGATATTGTTCAAGGGAAAATCGAAAAAAAAAAATGTGTATTAAAAATGCTGATATTTAAGGCAAAAGGGGTAATGAAGACACAATCGGATAATAAAAAATTTAATATTATTTTATTAACTGCCCTGGGCTTGTATCGAAATTCCGATACTATGAAACTGATAACACAAAATACTAAAAAAATGTTTTAAAAACTGAATTAAAGAAGAAAATTCGCTAAATTTTACAATTTTTCTTCGATCAAGGCGAAAAAGCAGCCAAAGCGGCTGAAAAAAATTAACTTAATTCATGTTCCCGATACTGTAAACGAACTTAAAGCTCAAAAGTGGTTTGCTAGGTTCCGTTTTTGTAATTTCGATGTCAAAGATGCACCACGCGTCGGGAGGCCTGTCGTCGAAAATTGCGATAAAATCATGAAAATAGTGTAAACAGACCGTCACTTGAGCACTTATTTAATTGCTGAGAAACTAAAGAGACGGCCAGGAAGGATTTGCTGTATATTTGATGGGATTAACAAGGCATCATCTACTACGAGCTGCTCCCCTATGACCAAACGCTCAATTCAGCCCTCTACTGCCAACTACTGGACCGCTTGAAGGTAGCACTCATCCAGAAGAGGCCATCTTTGATCAACAGAGGCCGAATTGTGTTCCATGAGGACAACGCCAGGGCACACACCTCTTTGGTGACACGCCAGAAGCTCCAGAAGCTGGAATGGGAAGTTCTAATGCATCTTATAGACCGGACCTGGCACCAAATGATTACCATCTTTTCCTGTCCATGGCGAACGCGCTCAAGAGAGGCATGTGAAAATTGGTTCTCCGAGTTTTTTGCCTTCGACGAGAGGGATATAATGAAGTTGGCATCTCGTGGGCAACAAGTTTACAACAAAACAAACTTAAATTGGACAGGTGTACACAAAGTTATAATTTTTTGAAAAATCAATAAAAAAACCGAACGAACTTTTTATTTTACCAATATATGATATATCCACGCTGGTCATATGTTGGGCTAGATGGAGGTTCAGCGGCTAGCAATGCGAACTGCCTGAAATTAAATTGAAATTATATATTTGCGATCACCCCTCGGCAGGTAATGTCAAGTCTTCCGAGTGTGTTTCTGGCATGAAATAAAGTCTTCTAAAAATCCCACGGTCTTTTGGTGGAGGTTTAGAATTAACGGTAGGTTCCTCTATTTGTTGGAAAAACGTCAACGTCAAGACACAAAGCACACAAACTCAGAAGAATATTTCAGCGGTCGCCGCGTAGAATGCAAAAAAGCATTGATATCTAATTTTGATACTTCAACAATAGTATTTTGTAAAGTGAAGGCCCTAGTTCTCGACAAAGACATACAGAGGCGTCTGCCTTAGGCCCTTGTCCTTACTTTTCATACATGTATCATCTTTACTAATGCCCTATCTACTCGTGTGTGATGCTTATAGATTGTGATTCATTAGATCAAGAGCCGTTCTCTAGTCCTTCAAAGACCGCGTGAGCAGAAGCTGAGAGGTATTTTCCTTCGTTGTCACTGCACTGTCCGTTTTGCAAATCAGTAAAACATTCCATCTCTCTTGGATCCTTTCTGTAATTTCATTTCGTATTTATTGTACCAGTTTGGTAGTGAAAGGGTTGGTATTTTTAGCAATATCATCAACCACAGGTTTCCTTCATGCTTCTAAGGAAGCTTTAAAATCAAAAGAAATTTATAAACAGTTATTATGAAGTTCTCACCTTCAAAACGCAGCTTTGAATTCTGGGCTGCTGAGTTTAAACGTGATCGTATCAGGTTTGAAGATGAATCAAGCGAAGAACAACCAAAAACCACAATCGCACCAGAAATCACTAAGCAAGTTCATAATATTGTACTATTAGTGGAGATCCACATTGGAAAAGTATCGCGTTCAAAAAGTGTCACGAATTTTGAATTTTTGCGGGTTACGTATAATCGAATTCCGATTTTTTTGTGGCGTTATGTTGGTACTCATGTCTGTAACTTATACCGACAAGCTCGGCCATTTTGAATGTTCACTTAATTGTTGACAGCTGCTTTGCGTGCACGTGTTTTGGATGGTCTTCGATTTTTACCTATTCAAAAAAATGGATCAAAGAACCGGTATAAAATTTTGTGTGAAAAACGAAATTAAGTGCGCGGATGCATTTCGAATGTTGACTGTGGCATACGGAGAAGCTACCTTGGACCGAAGCAACGTTTATCGGTGGTATAAAATGTTCTCAGAAGGCCGAGCGAGAAGATGTGAACGTCGAAGAGCGTGCCGGACGCCCGCGCACTTCAACAACAGACGAAAAAATTAATGAAGTGAAGAAAATGGTATTGGCCAATCGAAGATCTAAACATATCGATTGGCTCGTTCCATTCGTTTTTTATCAATAATTTTGGCATGAGACGGGTCGCGAAATTCGTACCAAAATTGCTCAATTGCCCCTGCTCACACATCGTTGCTTGTGCGCGACTTTTTGGCCAAATACAACACACTAATGACGCCGCAGCCACCGTATTCGACAGATCTGGTCCCCTGTGACTTTTTCTTGTCCACTAAACTGAAGAGGCCCGTGAAAGGACGACGTTACGCTTCAATTGACGAGATAAAGACGGCATCGAAGGATTGGAAAAACCTTTGGCACAAGTGTATAATATCTCATGGGCGAAATAGATATTCATGAATAAATAAATAATTTTTGAAAAAACACAAAATTCACCCCGTATGTAGCAAAATCGCCTTATGCAAAGCTACAATATTAAAATTTTATTTTTTGAATTAATTGAAAAAAATATTGATACAATTTGACAATACTCTTTTATTATTGATACATATATACATTTTACAGTTTATAATTAAAAATTAAAAATATAGAAAATAAGCTACACTTTTTTATCACTAATTTAACAACATTTGCTATGCTTTAAAATTTTAAATTATTTTAATTTTTTTTTTTCATACTGAACATGTATCTACATATGTATTCTCACTTATTAACAGTTCAGTTTTTTTTAGTTAATTAAAAAACTATAACTATTTACAAAACAATTAGTTGTGACAAGTAATTGAAATAAATAAATATATTATATTTCATACCTATAAAATGTACTACCTACATACATATGTACAATATATCACAAAATGTTGGAAGAACGTAAAATTCTATAAATTTTGCTTAGAATAAAAAAAAATGGTGATGAATGTTGAAAGAAAAATTGAAATTAAAAAATTATAAAAAAGAGCACAAAGTAAAATTTACAGCACAATGGATTGGGCGCATAAAAACAACGTAATTGCTCAAGGCAGTACGCAAACCAAATAGATTATTTAAAAGAGAAAAATTGGAGCGCACACTTTTTTATAGCAAAATTAATTAATTAATTGCTACAAAAACTAAGGCAATTTACGCCAATAAATGTTTGATATTTAAAAAAAAGTGCGTTCTTCTGCCGCGTACAAAGCAATGATTTACGTTTTTTTTTTAGTTTTTATGCGCAATCTATTCATCTCTCTCGCACTTACAAGCGTAGCTTCGGTTTATAATTTTGTAGAGTAAAATAAAAAAAAAATATTAGTTTACATATTATATAAAGTAATTTACTAAGTAATTTCGTTTGATGACAACACGTGATCAAATAGCTGTTTGAATTTTTTCACAACCAACTTCGCACTTAAGCGCTTTACCGTTATATATATGAACAGCTGATAAAGTAAGGCTAGAAATACTTAATTTAGTCAGAATGTCGTATTTAAATTGCGCTAAAATAAAACGAAATTACTTAGGGATGGACCCCATAGAACGAAGGCAAGAAATATAGTAAAAGTAAGCACAAATAATTTAAAATTATATAAAATTATTTGTACATAGCATAATACTTATATACAAGATTTATAATATTTTTATAAATACATTCCTGAAACCATTGATTTGTTAACTGGTAGACTCAAATACATATTAATTAACACAATTTACCCTGCAGGCAAAATACCAATTGTCAACTAGAATCAAACTGGTATGCAGTTTTGTACTAACTAGTCCATCTATTTCCCATTTAAGCAACAGAATAAGTATTTTCAACACGGCGTTGCTCTACTAACTGTTAATTGTATGACAATGCATCAGCTTTATACTAGTTTTATACCAGTTTTTTGGGGTATGTTGCATTTCCACTTCACAAGAAAGAAGAAAATTAAAAGTGATTTCGGCTGCCGCTAAGTTTTAACCTTGAAGAATTCGATAAGCCACAGTGATAATCTCTAACCACTAGGTTATCGAGATATACGCACTTTAGCGAAGCTTAAAGTCAACCATGATGTGCAGCATACTGTGGGGGAAATCTCTGATTCATCAAAGATACAAAAAAAAATATAAAAATAAAAATTAATTTCTCTCTGCTGATAAAGCGATACAATGATTTTCTCTAACCACTCAGTTACTGTGATGATTTATCGATAAACTTCATTTTGAACACTTCAACAGAGCAGATCAGTGCAGAGAATGGCACTCGGCCGTGTCGTGCTCTTATAACAACAATAACAAATGGTGGTGTGGAAAATATTATTGTTTCCGTTACTGGTGGACTGCTATACCAATAACTGACTGGTATAATTTAATCAACGAAATACCAGTATTTAACTAGAGTTTTTGCATACCAGTATACAATCTGCCTGCAGGGTACATACATACATACATATTTATGTCATAACATAAATATATATAATAACAATTTCGCTGTTGATTTTTGAATTGCACCAGTTTTCTTATTGTTTTTTTCTAGGTAAATATGTATTGTCATTTTTTACTCTAAGGAACTATTAATATAAAAAATATATCTTAAAAAAATTAAAAATATTTATATACATATATGCGAATAATACTTAAAATAGACAACATTAAAATGTAAAAATACTAAATTTATACAAAAGTTAATTTTTAAAAACTTTTAGAGTTGCCATTTGGTAGTAAAATAAAATTTAATTACAAAAAAAAAATTAAATCGGTGCAAATTATACACAATTCACACGTTTCAAATTCTGCATAAATGATCAACGCACTTTTATTGTTTCTCAACAATACCGTTAACACCACCATTAACACCATTAGCACCATTAACACCGTTAACACCATTCTCCACCTTCCAGTCCGGCTCGAATGCTTGATTGGTGTGTTGCATGCGCATAGCCGCCTCGGCATGATTACGATTTCTGCTCACCTGTGTGGAATTGCGCAGACCGTAGATAAAATAAATCAAATACCCAATGCACACCCATACGAGGAAACGTATCCAGGTATGCTGATCCAATTGGAACATTAAATAAACATTCACGAATACACTCAGACAGGGTATGAACGGCACTAGTGGTACTTTGAAAGTTAATTCGATTCTCGACACAGGTTGCATGGCAATAACGATGGTGATCAATATCAGTATTACACCAATCAAACCTAGTGCCACACCGCCAGCGGTTGTATTCAATGGATAGAAATGCTCAATTGTATCCCAGAGAATGCAAATAACAGCGAATACAACAATACCAATTTTTGTAATGCCTGATGTAAGTACATTCGGTTCACGATAGGAATTGCCATTGATGAATTGACGTATAACCTTGGGACATCGTACGGAGACTGTCTTCATATCCATATCATCATCTTGATAACGCAATACGAGTACACAAATTGCGACAATAGTGTAGGCGAGTAGTGTGCCAATGGACATCATATCGATCAGCTGATCGAGATCGAAAATAAGCGCCATTACACCTGAAAAAAAAAGTAGAGAAATTCGAATAGATTAGAGGGATTTAAGGGCAGCATAGATAGCTCGGCGTACGTTTCACCAGATTTTATCTTAAATTGATCCTATACTCTGGACGATCAACGGCTTTAAAAGGTTCGTTTAAATCCTCAAGGGCAGACGGTATTTTTCAGCTTTGACTCAGTAGGTTTTAGCAGTGCTGAGACTATCTGCAAGACGTTTAGGGATGTTTAACTATGACAGAGTTGTATGCATACTAAAGGCGGGCGAGTGAGTAGCCAAGTGGTTAGCATTGCCTGCTGTCATTCTGATACAAAGGGTTCGGGTACTGGTTCGACCAACATCCAAATGAATTTTTCTTATTATGGTCGCCTTTCGGCAGATAATATCAAGCTCCTCATGAAAAACATTCTTCCGTTCGGCTCAGAATGAACTGTAGATTCCTCCTTTAGTACGAAAAACATCAAGACGTATAACCACAGATTGGAGGAGAAGCTCAGCCGAAAAACTCTTCAGCGGTTACAAAGCGAATATTGCATATATACTTATATATAGATGTTTTTGAAGCTCACTGAAGAGGAAAGGGTGAAAATCGCAGTTGCTACGTGACTTCCCTCACCAGGGGTTCATACAGGACATTTTTTGGTGACGACAAACAAGCCAATCTGGCTATATGCTCCTTTGTTAAGATGGACCGCAGCGAATGAATTTCATTAGAGGTATAAAGGGGTTTTGTATACTCTGATTAATGGAAGCACTGGAATCGAAAAATTACTCATCGAAAGAAAATTGATGGCTCTAGAAGAATTTTCTACTAGAACAATAAAAGAAGGAAGTTGGGGCGGGAATATGCGGTCCGGCAGCATCAGTAGCATGATACAGCTAGATCTCGGGCTACCCTCCAAACTGCCGAAATACTGCATTGCGCTACCACTACAGAAAGCTACAGAAAACTGCTTACAATGAAAACATCGAGTTATGTACATCGAATAGTACGCCAAAAAATGTCCTGGGAAGCAAGGAACCAATTGCTAAAGTGATTATAGAAAAGCAAATGTTCCTACAGGATTCCAACTTCCTTATCTAAATTATATACTTACCAGCAAATAAGCCAGACAAAAGGGTCGCCAGCAACGGTGTCTGTGTGTAGTTGTGTACTTTGGAGAATGACTTGAAAAGTATGCCATCATTTCCCATGGCATAGAGAATACGTGGCAGTGGGAACATAGCGCCCAACAAACTGGTGGTCAATGCAAAAACTGCGCCGATGGTAACAACCCATTTGATGGTATACCAGCCGATGTTATCAAAAGCTTTTGGGAATGGTGCATCCTTATCCTGAAAGATAGGAAAAAGAGAAAAATATATTAGTTTTAAATAAAGATCAGGTGAAAAATAAAGAAAAAAAAATAGTCGAGGGAAACTTAAGTTCAAGAACTCATTAAGTCCGAGGACTGTCTATAGGCTAACAGTGAAAAAGAATCGCCGGAAATACTTTTCAAGCTCACCATAAGTAGCCCTAGAATGAAAATTCCTTTTGCAACTGCAAGCTTAGCTAGTCCAAATAAGATCGGCTAGACGATACAGAACTCTTGATTCATATGTAACAAGGTATGGATGAGAGTTTTCCAGCCATGTTAAAGAAGATCGGTTTATATTCCTACCGAAGAAAGAGAATATAACCAAAAATTTTTTCATAATTTTAACTAATATCATTGGAGTGCATAGTGGATATTCACATCAAGCAATCTTTAAGATAGTGTTTATGGTCTGACTAATATCGATGAGAATGAATCCTATCATTCTCTCTTGGAGAAACCCCTTACTAAACTGCAAAATATTTTTGTCCATGGAGGAACATGTTCAAGCTTGGATCAAATCAAAGCTAGGAAGACTAGTTTACACCCGAAACTTAGCATCTAATGCTTGGGAATTGTATTGGAAAGTAGGTCCCAATGTTGAGGAACAAGTCCAGAAAAATAATGTCTTGAAGCTGAAAGTAAGTTGGACTGGATTTGATAGATTCCCTTTGCTATCGTATTAGGTCTTCCAAGCGATTGTTAAGCCAATACCTCTCTCTAGAATTATAGGCTAGGAAAGGCATACGTATGGAGCAAACGTCTCAAGTTTGCATATTTTTGCAGAAGGCTCCATAATAGTAGTTGATGAACTGGGTAAAGAGGCAGTACCCCCTGCACATGATCTAGATGTGGACTAACAAGACCAATTCCTGAAGGGGTAGAGAGAGTATAACTCGTAATCTGTGAGTGTTCGGTTTACTGCATAGAACGGCTAATCTCGTCTGTCAAAGAATTTCAATCAGTAGTGGATAAAGGCGCAAAATGCATATTTCGATCTGCTCAGAGAGCAACAATGTAGCAGTACATAATTCTGGTCACATAGAAGATACCTATGTTGGTCCTGCTATGGATATTATTTTCACCCTTCCAAATACTCAAACCACTTGGTGTGTTCTACAAAATTCAGGAGACTATCGATGCAAGCTCTGCAAGGCAATCGAAGAAGAAATTTGTGAGAAAACATAGACGGACCCCACTAAGAGCTGGGCACTGACAGACGTAGTGCTCCACAGATTCCTCCTCTTCTACTTTCCTCCAACTGCAGAGGTCGTTTAAGCCATCCATCCTTCCACCATGAGTCTCCCTAAAGTACTGTCCGATTATTACGACGGTCTCCCATAAGCATTACGGAGGTCCGGTTTAGAAGAAGTAGAGACTTGGAGCTTTTTACCTCGATCAATGGACAGATTTGTCTTGTTACATTGCACGTGGTTTCGCTATGCTATCTGCTGTTGGCTCTTCTGGTGAAAACTACTTTGACGAGAAAAGCGGTATGCGCCAGTTCGTCGCCAACGTAGTTCCTTGAGATGTCGCTATGAGCAGAGACCCAAACCACGAATGTTTCCTTTAAAGTGAAGAGTTTGTTAAGATCTCTGTGCATTTTAATTCTAGGGGCTCAGAGTAAACTCCGCTACCTACTCTACCATCTAATTTAGAGCCGTCGGTGAAGATGGCTGCGGACCTATGATCCAGAACTGAGAAAATACATTCGAAACAGAAGACGGAAGTGGTGTAGTCCACCTGTTCTAGGAGTGGTGCAGAGTTAAGTATTTGAGCGCGTCCAATGCGTTTCCTCCATGGTTGAGTAGCACTTAGTCTTATGGCGTTACAGCTCGCATGAAGTTTCCCATATAGGTCAACCGGTAGAAGATTCAGAAGAATAACTTAAGCTAATCAGTCTTACAGCACCGCGCAATGACTGAAAGTAAGAACTGGAGTTTTTGACTTATATAAGTGCAGTCCTGTAGACAAAGAGAAAATTTCAGTCGCCAACTCACCAATTCGAAATAAGGCACCATCATCGTCAGCACAGTAGAAATGCCAAAGTATGAAAGGAATATGATGATCAACGAGATAACGATAGCGAGTGGAATATTGCGCTTGGGATTTATAGCTTCCTCACCCGTTGTGGCTATACAATCGAAACCAACAAAACCGTAGAAGCATTTCGCGGCACCAGCCATAACGCCAGCAATACCAAATGGCATAAAACCACCGGTGCCAGCGTTCTCCGGCACATTCTCGTTGGCTATAGTCCAATTATCAGGATTCGCTATAAAAAAAAAGAGAAGAAATTCGTACAAAGATTAATAAGACTCAGCACAAAGTAATCTCTCAGTGGACCCACATACCATTAATGGCGCCAGCGACTAGCATAACACCAATGGTGAGCAAATTCACAGTTGTGAAGATATTATTCAGAAAACTTGACTCCTTAACACCGAAACCAAGCAGCGCTGCCAAAAGTAAGATCACACCGAAGGCCAAAAAATCAGGATATGTTGCTAAGAAATCGACATGCATGGGCATTGCCTCCTGCAATGACTGCGACATGGAGTTATTTATCAGCGCATCAAAATAGCCGCTCAGACCGCGTGCCACACTCGCTGTGCCTATTCAAATGACATAACAATCAATGATAAAAAGATTCAATCAAAAACAATAACAACTCAAGCCAAATAAAAACTCACCAATCACATATTCCAATATCAAGTTCCAGCCTATCGTGAAAGCGACAAATTCACCAACAGTTACATAACTGTAAACATAAGCAGAGCCCGCTTTTGGTACACGTGCTGCGAACTCAGCATAACAAATACCGGCGAATGCCGATGCAATCGCAGCTATAAGAAAGGATATTGTCACAGCAGGCCCAGCGGTACTGTAGGCAACCGAACCGGCGAGCACATATACGCCCAGACCGAGTGTACTGCCGACACCCAGCGCTGTTAGATCGAAAAGATTGAGTACACGCGCCAATTGGGACTCGCTCTCGACAACATCATCTGTTTTTCGACGTGAAAGCGCGGACCACAGTTTCGACATCTTTTCAAAAGAGTTTGCTTTTTTGACTATCTAAATTTTGCAAAGTGATGAATATATTGAATCTCTGGTCCTCTAGCGCTGGTTGTTTACTGAAAGTAGAAGAGGGTTATGCATTTTAATTGCGAAATTAAAATTATGTAAAATTAAAAGTTATAATTTAACTGAAAATTTTATGTAAAATATAAAAATGTTTTAATCCGTTTCCCATAATCAATTTTTGTGGACTGTTTCCATTCAAAATAATGAGTTTTGAATTAAACTCTTTTAAACTCGGCGGCCGCAAGAGCCGAGTGGTTAGCATTGGGTAATTTGGAAGGCCAGGGCTCTAGTCTTGGTTCGACCCACAGCCAAAATTAGTATTCTAATGTCAAGCCTTCTGAGTGTGTTTTGACATAAAATAAAAAAAATCCCATCAAGAATCCATCAGCCGTTCGGAGGCGGCTTAGTATAAACTGTAGGTCCTACCAATTGGAATTTTTTACAGGCGAGTGGTTTTCCATGGGACAAAACTTTTTTCGTACTTCGTCTTTTAACAACTTTTACTTAATTTATACTCAATTTCATTAGCCATTTCATGCTAAACAGACTTACTTCGGAACAACTCTTGCAAATCGTGCCAATTAATTGCCAAAACCATTAATTCTGTGTCCAATATTCCGTCGACATAATCGTCCAGCAGAGTGCCTAATTCGAGTTACCATGGATTGGTTTCAGACCACGTTTACTCTGGTGGATAATGCCTATCCTGAGAGACGTCGTACAATGCAAAACGAAGACGCATTTCTGTTGTGGAGCATAATATCGAAGAAGAACCGGATGAGTCTAACCGTCAACCGCTCCAGCTGTACCTCCACTCTGTGGAAGCTTTTGCGAAAGGATCTTGGTTTGCGAGCTTGCAAAATCAAACTCGTGCAAGAAATGAAGCCGAACAATGTTAATGAACAAAATTTTCTCATTTGGAGTGATGATAATCTACTGGACATTGATGGACAGAGGCAGTCATTAGTTCATATTTGATCAAAAATGAAGTCGGTCATAATTTTGCACTCAATGTGGTACGCTGTAGAGCTCTGGTTAATGACTTCTTACTGCCTGCATTGGAGTATATTGATGTGGACCACATTTGGTTCGAACACGACGACCCTTCATGTCATACAGCCAACGAAACTATAAATTAATTGAAGAAAACTTTTGGTTAGCGCATTATTTCGCGTCGGGGACCTGTGGCGTGGCTCCTACAATCGTATGATTTAACAGTTCAGCACTATTTTTTTTTTTTTTTTCAGTAGTGTAAAGTCAAATTAGAGCCCGACAATTTCCAGCTAGAAAGAGAATATTTGGCGGCTTATTGCTAACATAAAGGGTGGTCGAAAATCGGGCCTTTCGTCTAGAATATATTTCAAATAATTCTTAAGACATAAGAACCAACCTTCATCTATATAATAAAGCTAAATTCTTAATCATTAAATTATATGCATTCTATTTCTGCTTGTAAACCAAATGCCACATAAAAAAAGGCACCCTTTTTACTTATAACAAAGTTTATAATAACCAAAAATGTTAAGCAGAAAATCAATAACATCCGGGTGCTTTACCCTCATTAGTATATATACATGAGTTAGTTGTCTGTATATCTTGAAAATAATTGGCGGAATTCGCAAATTATTTATCAAAGTTAAATTAAGAACAGAATTTTGAATTTTTCAAACTGGTTTGACTTGCCGAAAATTTGCGAATAAATACCTGAGTATTTGCCATTTTATATACTCATTTTTTGTATGGGTTTCTTGTATTTTTTATTTTTGTTTTCTTTGTTTTTTTTTTTTTTTTTTTGCAAAACGCTGAATAAATAATTTAATGAGTTATTTTGTAAAGACTTTGTGAAGAAATAATAAAAAGTGATATTTAATTGCGCCTGAGGTGCTACAATAAAGATAAGTGCAAGTTGTTGTATGTTTGTTTGTATGTTTTTTTTTTTTTGTTTAAATATGTACATATGTACATTGATTTGAACACATATATATATTTATATTGTATTTATATTTATTTGAAAGGCATTTTAATATGACATTGTACGTAGAAGTATTACCTTTTGCAAGGCTTTTATCTTTAATAGCGAGTAAAAGTTGTTTAAATACAAGTGCATACATACATATATTTGCAAGTGTTTATATAAGTAGATAAATGAATTATAAAATATTATTAGCAGACGTTAATGTGTCTACAATCGCAAAAATATATAGACACTTACTAAATATATATAATATATATAAAATATATGTATGTATTGCTTGAAATTGCACGAGTGGGCTTTTGTTGAAACATTTATCATCATAAAAGTATGCACATATGTATGCACGTATGTACGTTATCAATCAAATTTCCATAAAGAATGCCTATTTTTCCGACAAAATCGCGACGAGTGTTTGAGTGTCTTAAGTAAAAGTCACGAATCGGTTAATTGCAGTCGTGACACTTTTTTATTTATTTACATATTTATGTATGTACGGGTATCTACTGAAGACTTGAGCACTTTTTCTTTATATACCGCCAGTTAAAAAAAATGAAATTGTATTATTAAAAGTATGTAAACATATAAATGCAAATACAATGATAAAAATGTTAAACGCACTTACATCAAGGCTGCAACGTAACGATATATTTCACGTTAATCAAAAAACTCAAATCGATTGGGTTGAAATACATGAAAATGTTATCGTTTATTTTTTTACTTATCGAAATAAATTTTATTTCGTGTGTGTTAAATCGTTAACAGATAATGCTAAATCGACAACAGATAATGTTAAATCGTTAACAGATAATGTTAAATCATTAACACATAATGTTAAATCGTTAACATATAATGTTAAATCGTTAACAGATAATGTTAAATCATTAACACATAATGTTAAATCGTTAACATATAATGTTAAATCGTTAACAGATAATGCTAAATCGACAACAGATAATGTTAAATCGTTAACAGATAATGTTAAATCATTAACAGATAATGTTAAATTGTTAACAGGCAATGTTAAAGCCTTAACAGATAATGTTAAATGTTAAAATTGAAGTGTGCTGTTAATAGCATAGCAAGGATACATTTTAAAATTAATGTTAACGATGAGCCTGTGCGGTTTCAACATTAACAACTTCGTTTCGATGACATGGCGCCGAACGAAAAGAAAGTCATTTCTTAAGTTTACTGTTCATATTAATAAAACTACCCACTATTTTGAAATCTTTTCAATCTGCTACTTTTTTTCCATTTATAAATTCTCATCTGGAACCAATTGAAAATTTAAATGAAATGAAAAATTTATTGTGTTAAATATATATATGTATATTTTATTCCTTAGTCTGAATGGGTTATGCTGGATTATACATTGGAAATAAATTATTTATCCCCCCTTTTCTCCACCTCTGCTTAAACTCTTTTTCTCATTATCGATATGACTGAATTCCATTAAGCCGGAATGCAGAAACCTCCCGCTAAATTTTCCAAAAAATGGATGGACACAGTTTCATATGTTCGGGTATTCTTCGATACTCTGTTCCACTGCAGCAGTAGCGTCTTCGATGTGCCCTTCACAGCGTCTCTGGGGATGCGCATATCCTTTATTTTGGAAACAAATTTGCACATTCGGACGACTTGACCTAGCCAGCCTAGCCGCTTTCTTTTCATTCACTGAACTATATTAATATCTCATATATGTAGCTCGTACAGCTCATCATTGCGTATTGATTTCTACCATAAAACCTTATATGTAGATCTTTCTGTTAAAGTCCACAATCCCTGTTTGGAAGGCAGAGTTGTTGTCATGATTTTTGAAGCTACCTTGGTTATTGAGGTGATCACAGAAAAACCCTGCGGAATTGCTTGACTGGCATTGAGACCCAATGATTTGATGCGCCACATCTTCTTTAGTACCGTCCATCATACCAGTGCTCTATATGTTAGCATGAGTCTAATCATATGAGTACTTGTATGAAGCCAATGCACCATCGTAGGGCTCACTTTGGTGCAACAGCTAATCGGCAGGTATTTCAGATTCGAAGCGCTTCACTGATTTTTCTCTCCACATGCTCACCCCAGCTAAGTTTTTATCAAGGATTACACCGACCTAGTGAGCCGGATGCTGTTATAATTTTACCGCTTAAAGATGATGGGTTGAATTTATGAACTTGCTTCCTCTTTTGTATAAAAGAAGCAGAAATCAAATGTTTCCAAGTTTATTAAGATTCCTCGTCTCTCTCAGCCCAGTCAGCTGAGCTTTCAAGTGAGAAGATCATCCTCATAACATACTTACTTTAAGTTTTCTGCTGTATGCATTTTGAAGTAATGGTTTATCATATAATTTTATTTTTAACGTAGGCATGCTGTCGGAATGACAGTTGCTCAGGCGGTATTTGTTGTTTAAACCAATAGTTACAGATGCTTTTCATACTTTTTAGTACAAAGGATGTTCGACTGATTGGTTTATAGATTTCCAGTACCAGATAATCCTCGCTGCCAGCTTTCGGGTTAAAAATCACAAAGACGAATTGCCCCTTAAGCGTGAGTATACCAAGCGAATATACGTCGTTTAATGTATGTATGAGCGGCACGACGTGCTTGGTAAAGGTGCTCGAAATTTCAATTAAATTACTATTAAACTTTTGTACTTTATACTAAAAGGTCCAAAGATTTGTTTAAGGTTTTTAGAAAAAAAAAAATATTATCATAAAATCATGACAATTTTTTGGAGTTATTCAGCTTATGGGACTTTTCCGCACTCACTACTGAACCAATTAAAGCACACATATGGTCAGACGTATATACATATAAAAGTGTGTCGGATTTTTTTTTTTATATAATTTTAAAGCAGAATCAAGTGCTTTAAATAACTTTAACTATTAATATCAATTTGTTTTTTTTTTTTTTGAAATGCTCCATATAAATTACAGTTAAAGAAAAAAGTCATGGAATGTTTCGGCGTTTTTATATATTATCGGCATACAATTATTTTTCCTGCTTTTTCATAATTTTCTTGTCAATTAGCTCGCAAGCGGAATTGGACTTGCAGCATAATAAAATTGTCGGCTAATT